ACTGCTGTTCCTGAAACCACGCTTTCTTTCTTTGCGTGCACATTTGGGCGGTGTTATGCAAATCTTCCCAGATCGTGACGTAGGTATGTGGGGGCGTGTTAGAACGAGCCGTTTTAGGTAGGCGTGGCTGACTCTTAACTTTTATAAAGAATATCTCTTTGGATTTGAGACTTTAGTCTTTGCAACTTTACAGATCTTCTTTATGCACCAAGAGCTTGTAACACTCCAAAGAGAAAGGAAAAATTTAAATCGCAGCATATGACCCCTTTAATTAAACAAGTTTGTAATGTTGTGATTTGCTTTGCAGCTGTTTGGTTAGTGGCTTCTAAGGACTGTCTGAGAACTACATCTATGTTCTGATTGGCTAAAGCACTCAAGACGGACCTGTTTTTTTTTCTGTTTACTAAAGGGCAATTTTGCAGGAAATATGTTTCTATGGTATTTCTTGGGTATTCAAAAAAAAAAAAAAAGCTTGCAGCAGCTTTCACATATTTGCCTCATAAAATGTGACATTTATAACTACACTATTTTAAAAGGAATGTATGGTAGTGCTTTATAATAATAACCCTTGACTAATAATGCCTAACAGCATTAATATACACTTAAAAAGTTAAAAACGTCATAAAACTAATTTTCATACATCAGATTTGCATATACATCTCATATCGCTAACAAATATTACCGAACATAAGGTGTTGTTAAGATGGTATCTGGCAAGGACACATGACTTAAGTTGAAACAAGGTCTCATACCTGCCTTATAAGCCTTAATGTGATTATGCTTTAACACATATGATTGTGATTTTTTTCCTGTCTCTCACAGGTTGCGGTGTATATTGGACAGAGGTGCCCCGATGCTCTTGTGTGCAGTGGCTTCGGACTCCACTCTGGTGTATCAGAGACTGTGTGACGGCTTTCTGACCCCTGACCCTCCAGTGGACATTCAAGACCAAGGCCGCCGACAGCGTCGCAAACGGAGGTTACAGACGTGAGAGAAACACCCAGATGATACAGACAAGACTGTGATTCCTAACTCTCCAGATGTGAGGATTGGGTAGTACTTACAGTTCGAATACATTTATGAACTCATTTTATCTTTGAACCAAGTCTTCTGAAGAGTCACTCAAGTGCTTGCATGACTAACTAAAACAAAACTCACTGGTTCTCATGCATAAAGCAAGTTCAGTTGAGCTTTCATTGACCATTTTTGATGTGCTCAATGTATGTGTCGATCAATGTTTATGTGTGAATAAAAGCATAAATTAAATCTATAAAGCGAACATGTTTCATCAGAAAACTTGGATTAATCATGTGGATTGTTTTTACGATGTTTTTTGAAGCCTAAATGTTTTGGGACAAAAATCTCCCAGGTTCATTAAAGTTCTTCATTTGCATTTCAAAGATGAATGAAAGTCATGACTTTTTAATTTTTCTGTAAAAAATACAAAACAACATTGGACCCCATTGACTTCATTATATGAAAAAAAAAAAAAAACATCA